ATAATCTATGCATTCATAAACTTTTAGCCTCTTTGAGTGACTGCTAAAATCTGAGGCCTTTCAGATTTTTTTTTTTTTTTTTTTTTTTAATTGTGTGAGCAGAAAGATAGAATTTTAGAAGAGCTTCTTGAGTTACCTTTTGAATGATATAAAGAATTGTTAACATAATGTCAAATTTTTTACAACTAAATATTAAATATATAAAAAAGCCTGCAGCATTCTCATGTTACGAAAAACATATTTATTTATTCTGAGGCTAGGAATTGATTTAGTTTTAAAAATACAATTTATTCCTTTTAACAATTTCCCAACAGTGTCATCAAAACACTATAAATTCCTTAAAAACATGTTTTAAAGAAAGATGATTCATTTATGTAAAGATTATTAAATGGGTAATTTTATTATTCAATTTTTAATACAAATTAACTGAAATTAGAAACTGATTTTGTAAAATAATTTAATTATGAATAATTCAATTTGGGGGCTATTGGATGTTTAAAAATGATCAAAAGATTTTTAATATCTTAAAAATAAAAGCAAAATTTTCAGTTTTAATATTTTGTATTAATAATTCATTTTAATTTCCTTGCTCAGTTTTAATATATTCACAAATTCAGATTTAAAAACAAAATAAGTTGTATAAATATTTTCAACATTTCTGATTTTTCCATAGTAACCATAGGAGAACGATTTGAGACTATCTGTGTAAAAAAAAAAGTAGGTTTTAGATCATCACACCTTCACATACTACTTTCACTGGAATTTTCCTCTGTATATATACTGGGATGTGACACTAAGCAGTTGAGAGTATGTATTTAAGAGGTTAAAGGGATATTGTAACTAGTGTTTCAAATCCTGATAACATCCCATACGCTGTCGGTGGGACGTAGATAGGATGTCCTAAGGATATACTGGGATGTGACATTAAGCGCTCAGGAGGATGAGTTTAGGAGGAAATTGGGATATTACGGGATGTCCTGAGGATGTAGTAAGTAGGACTTTAAATCCTAATAACATCCCATATGCTGTCGATGGGACATAGATAGGATGTTTTTAGGATATAATGGGATGTGCTTAGGAGGTTTGTGGGATGTCCTGAGGATGTAGTAAGTAGGAGTTCATATCCTAATAACATCCCGCACGCTGTCGATGGGACTTGGTTAGGATGTCCTGAGGATATCCCGGGATGTGACATTAAGCACTCGGGAGGAGGTGTTTAGGAGGTTCGCGGGATATTCCGGGATGTCCTGAGGATGTGCGCATATCCCCGCGAGCAACATCCTTGGGATATCCCAAGGATGTTTTTGTGCTATGTGGGGAAGGTGGGAGAAACACGTTATATAATCCTCCCCCTTTTAAAGGGCGACTGGGGATTAGGGGACCCAATCGCCAAATCTTGGTGGTGAAGAATCTTCATCCACCGCCTTTTTTAGTTCGGGTGCCACTGTAGAAACAGTAGGTTATTTTGATACGGGAGACGAGAAAAAATAAGCAATGTCCTCGCCGAGACTCGAACCTCGGTCCTCTTGAATATGCTCAGATTGTGCTGAGCACTACACCACGAAGGCATGCTAAGAAGGCGGGAAAACACTTTGCAAAAATATCTTGGATTTTCTTGCGTACATCCTTACCTTAAATCGCCAAACAAACGCTGAATATTGATTTTCATCATATGAAAACATCAGTCAAAAAGAAAACATCACTCGCCAATCAAAAAGTATAACAAAGTACAAGCACAAATTATGCTTCGTTAATAAGTTAAGAATGTTTTCTCTTTAGTAGAATGTAGTCAGGAAGTAACAAATAGGGCAATAAAACAATTCAATCTTTAAGAGTTTACTAAATATTCAGTAAATACTTCTGTGTGTTAGTAAAATGTGAAAATTACGCAGATAAAAAAAGCTTAACTTTTTTTCAAGTACTCGCTTGATTTGTAATGCATTACGTTAAAAAATAACCCTGGTTCATCAATGCAATGCAACATTTATGTATTATTAATTGCTCCTTTCGAATGTGATAAAAAAGTTAAGTTTTCAGAAATATTTTGACAAAACAGTGATTGTTTCCCTAGTAATTTAAATCAAAACATTCTAAAAGGTGATGTTTTTTATGAAGATATTAATATTTTCTTAGACACGTTTCTTATCAAATTAGTTTGAAATATTTCTTAAAGTCTATGGTACTGCAAGTCAATGACAATGATAACTTAGAGAAATAGTTCAAAGTCCATATGAGCTGAGTTAAAAATCTCCGTTATCTACATGGGAGTAGATCCTTGTCACAGAAAATTAATCTATCACATTAGTATGCTAAGATAAAATGCCAGTTCTTTTCTAAACCTTTCGTTCAAAATGATAGTGTTGTTGAAATTAAATCTTCCAAATGTGTAATTACTAAATCAAAGTGTATAAAAGGTTATCGATAAGGAAATTCCCCGAAAACAGATTATGAAAACATGGTAACACCCCAGTTATCCGAGGAAACTTAAAAGTTTATGCTATATAATTTACTTGTGCTGCAGGAAAAGAAAAATTAAAGGATTAAAAATTACGATATTTGTGGAAGATTTCCGAAATGAAACGTGTAGAATTTAGGGGAAGTATTCACTTAATTGTTTATAATTACGTTAAGTCATTGGGTATATGTGACATACAAAATGCATTCGAAAGCAAAAATTAACAAACTTTTCAGATTCTGGCAAAGAATCATATTTCATTGTGAAAGAAATTGTTAGGAAATGCGCGAAATGTAGAAAAATATCCATATAGAATACCTGGACTATAATGTTTGAATGTGTTTGTTCCGAATAGAAACTCTAATTAGTAATAAAGCACTGAATTCAAAAAAGTGGTCAAAAGTGCATTGATAATGCAATAAAAAATTCTGTTTACTAGTAAAAATATTACTTAAATTCCTCAGCAAAAGTGAAACATTCCCTCAGTCGCATGGTGCGGAATAAAAATTAAGAGCAAGATAAGCGGCTGTTAAATGAATAGAAGGTAATTATTATTTTCAATCAGAAACTTCAAAGATACTAAAGAAATAATGCTTGAGTTAGAGTAGGAATACTTTTTGAATAGAAATATGGATAATGTTTGAGTTAAAATAGAGTAAAAAAATGGTCTAATCCCTTTCAGAACTGTAAATTAAAAAAAAATGTTAAAATTAAATAAATAAATGGATAAATCTTATGAAAAACAGTTAATTAATTCGACAGGAAAACAGTGATCGCAATAAATTTTTAAAAAGTTCTAGTATATTGTAATTTTCTACCTATCTACGAGTTCATAAAGCAGAAAAAAAAAAAAAAATATCACGTTCGCTTGCTTGCGGTATATTCCACAATCGTTCAAAAACGTTTTGTTTTTGTGGTGTAATATTTCTGAATTTGAAGCTTCAGAAAACAAAATCACTCTGATTTATCAACTTGCGCCTAAATGTAGAATACAGTCTTCAAACGGAAGGTTTTAGAATAAATAATGTGTTATAAATAAAAACGAGATAAAAAAATTTTTCATGCTCAGTTCGTGAATCTGGTTAAGGTAAGATCTAGTCTTGTCTGGTTCGGTACATTTCCAGAAAAACATTCATTGTTTGAAAACTCGGATGTTTCCATTTTGCTGCAAATCTGATATTTTCTTATTCCATTTTACATTTCACTATTACTGTGCGTCAGGAGAAGAAGATTTTTCCGCGGATATTGCATACTTCTCTTACAGGTCTGGAACTATTATGGTAATTTATATTACCAAATAGTGTGTATAAAATCCGTAGTTACGCAGGAAATATTTTCAATGTTTGCTTAATTTGAAACAAAAGATGCAGCCCGCATCTACAAAATAGTAGAGCACGTTTACCTTAGTATGTCCTCCCCAAATGCATTTTTTCCCTTGGTCCTTTGCATGCTTTTCCGTATTTATTAAGTTCAGTTCATTGCATTCCTATCTTTTCTCGAATTTGTAAACTATTTTTGTTTAAATATCTTTACTAGAATTTTATTTAGCTGATTTTGAAGTGTATTTTGATCAATGTGTGGTAAATGAGGATCACTAACACAGAATGATTCCAAGCAATGTATCTTTTCTTCATCCTAAGAGAAGATGTGTTCCGTGCATTGTGAAACGCGTTTCCTTTATTTATTATGTATGACGGTTAGAATAAATTAAATGTTCCATGCATTGTTTGGCTGCAGTGTTTAAAATAATGCTTTTTTTGAAAGTATGGACTTTTTCAAATTAAGTCGTATTAAAATGTATTGAATTTTTTTACAGTTTTCTACTGTGTTGGATCAAGATATGGAGTTCATGCCAATATTATCTGTTAAGGATGATGTTTATGCATAATTTTATTTGCTAAGCAATAATAAATTAAATTTCAAATGTTCTCAAGAAAAGGCTGTAAGAATTCAGTGTTCAGTAATGCTAATTTGAAATGCGTATATCAAGTTAAAAAGAATGTGTTGAACTTTTAAGACAATTGCTAAGCTGGATTATTTGGAATTCATGCCAATATTGCATGTTATGTATGACACTTATGCATAATTTTATTTGCTGTCCGTGAGAAGTTAAATGTCAGATGTTCTTAAAGAGCCATAAGAGCTCAGTGTTAAATAAACTAATGTCAGTTTGAAATGCACATCTTGGAACGACTGTGTTAAATTTTTTTAGCTAATTGCTATGTTGGATCATTATTTGGAACTCAAATCAATGTTTTGTGTAATGTAGTATCATACCTACACAGGATTTTAATTGCAATGTATGATAAATTTTCAAAAAGCCGTAAGAGTTCAGTACTTAATAAAATACTACCCATGTGAAATGTGTATCTTTTAACTTAGTTAAAAATGAAGATGTTGAAAAGCTTTGAGACAGAAAAATAATGATCACACTATTTGACAAATTTTTTCAAGCTGAGAAATTTTTATATTCCAAATTGAGGTTCTACAAAGTTTCATTTCCATGTTTGAATATTACTTCTATAAATATTATAAACTTCTTTTCTTTTCCTTCATAAATCTACTTATAATTCAAATTTAAAATAATTCTTTACAGTGTGTATATTCTTTTGTACAATTAAAAATATTTCAATTTCCTGTACCTTGTTAAGAAATTCAATTCTCTAATAAATTCGAAAATAGTAGTAGTTAGAGGCTCTCTGCATTACATAGTGGAATCATATTAAGAATCCGAATGATGTTTTCATATGATGAAAATCAAGGTTTAGCGTATGTTTGAAGATTTAAGCTAAAGATATGCACCAGACAATCATGGATATTTGTGCCAAGTGTTTCAAAGAGCTAATCTCTTTTAGAATCCTTCTGCTGAATAAAAAGGAAGGATTTGAGAAATAAATAATAAGAAATGAAAAAATAAGAAATGAAATAAAATAATAAGAAATGAAATACGTTAGGTATACAGTCAAAAGTCGTTAATTCGGACACCCATAATCCGGAATGATCTATAATCCGGACCTCAAAGCTTCAAACTTTCTGCGCATGCGTCGCGTTGACGCATGCGCGTAAGCCTTTACGGCTGAAAAACGCTTGTGCGCGTGCGCAAAAACGTTTTGAGTGCGCGTTTTAATACGGTATAAGCAACTCAAATTATTTAATTATTCTATTTCAGTAAGTTGCAGATCGCGTGTCCTATCTTCGAATTGGATCCGGCTTATATTTTGCAAACTTTAGAGCAATTTATAAAAGTAAGCTTGAACTTTCGATTATGTCAAATAGAATTTCGATATATATTTATTATATGTAAATGATTACAAACGAAAGTATGTTCGAAGTTCATAAACAAAAAGTGAATGCTACAAAAAATGGATTCATATCCTTTGTTTATATAAACTTTAACGTTGTTTATCTAACTTTGTTATCTTTAACGCCCGGCGCTGCGAAGCCTTGGAAGTGATCGTCAGAACTATCCTTATTTCAGGGCAGATGTTTTTATTTTGTGGTTTATATCCTTATTAAATGTAGTATTCATCTTGATATGATTGAATCAAATTCCGTCTTATAATTCGCTTCCGATAGCGAAAAGTGACAGAGGTTATTGAAAACGAAAAAATTTCAATGACAAATTAGTCGGTATTCTCGACACAGCAATTATAGGGACTTGAACAGCGGAACTTTGTAACTGAGCAAGAAATTATGTCTGTTTAAGAATTAAAGAGAAAGTATTATACATAAAAAACGAAGCAACTTAAGCAACTTACATTGAAAGAAATGTTTAATAAAGTAAACAAATGAAATATAAGCTTTTTTTTTTTTTTGTAAATTTTGATACCCTTTAGATCATAATTGTTCTTTATTTCATAAATTACGGTTTCATATTTTTAATTTTATAATTTCGCATGCCATCTTACCAGATTTAAACTGATGATCTATAATCCGGAAAAATCGATAATCCGGAATCGCCGAAGTCCCGACGAGTCCGGATTAACGACTTTTGACTGTATATCTAAACTAAACTGGGAAAAACAATAGGAATAAATTCAGTATTTTTTCATATGAATTTGAACTGGACCGGCTAGAAATGATCATGTATTAGTTAAAGCAGACTTTATATCATGAAAACTTATTATTCCTCAATTATAAGTTTTAATTTAAAGTCAGATGATCTGACAATAAACGAATTTGTATAAGTGCGTATTCACTTTTGGAAAAAGGAATCCAAAATGTAACATGAATATGTTTTAAAAGCAAGGTAAAAGTTAAATTAAGGTAAAATGTGTATATATAAAGTAGAAAGTGCAAAGTTCACATTTGTTTCGCATAGTTTGGTGAATTTCTGAAATAAAAGTAAGATGTGTCAAAGAAAATTCGTAATGTTTCATGGTGTTTCATAAAGTTAGTACAGTAATTAGTACAATACATTAGAAGAGGAAGTTCTGAATATCTCAATTTAAGTGTTAGTAGTATAAAAGTAAGAAGTTTAGTACAAATATTCCAATTAAACTACATAGAACGAACATGGTACACATTGGTTTAAGTCAATTTCAAGGTACAGAAAATGTTATCCATGAAGGCTTCCAGAAGGAGTAAGTAATACGCATGTAAATTCCAGCTTAAATTTCGTAGACAGAAAAATATATTTAAGTTTGCTTTTGGAAAAAAAAAAACATTGATAATAATATTTAAAAAGGAATTGATGATAAGTATTTAAAATAAGGAAAAATGTTAAGTTTAAAGTAAAACTATGACAAAGAACATTTTTTAAAATATAAAAAATTTACATTTGCAAAAAATAAGTAAAATAAATATTTTGAGGTAAAAACATAGAAGAAAAATGCATGCGTTGTAAAAGCAAAGAAATAAAAAAAAAAATCAAATTATGAAAATAAATGTTCCGTTTTAATAAATAAATTGTTTTAAATAAAAGCGAAAAATGTATAGTCACTTTTCTAAAAACAAAAAGCGGAAAATATAAATGGTACTTTTATAAAATAAAAAAGTTAAATGTAAATAAATAAATTAAAAAAGGAAAAATTAAACTTGTGAAAGAAATATTATTTTTGTAGAAATAAAAATGTGGACACTTTAATCAGCGGAAACAGAAAGTAAAGTTTATGTGTGCAAAAGCAAAACATATGGAAAGAAAAAATTAATAAATTAAATTTTGTAAGAATAAGGAAGAAAACAAAAGAATATAACATATGCTTGTAAAAATAAACGTAAAATTTGGGAAAAATCTTACACTGAAACAAAGAAATAGACACATTGAATGGTTGGAACCAGAAGGATAATGTTAGCGAGAAACTGATTGATTGTTAAGATTGTATTCTTTCGCGGATACACAAAGGCGTGGCGCGGTTTTTGCATGCCGAAACAGTCTCGCGCATGCGCAATCCGACATGCGTGTCTCGCATCCCAGAAGTTGCAGATTTGACTCCCATCCGTGGGGGTCATTTTTAAATCTTGTGCAATTACATAAAATTCATTCACTAAAAATTATTATATTAAATTAAATAATACAATCATTTAAAAAATGAAATAATAAAAAACAATGACATAGTAAAGAAATCAAAATAATAAAGAAAATAAATTAAAGTTGATGTGATTCCAAACACGTGGTTGAAGAGCTCGTTGCCCCAAAAATAAAAACTTAGAAAAAAAAATTTTGTTGCCACAGAATAAAAACAGAACTACGCATGACGTCATCCCAGCCCGTCCAAGTCATTTCCGGTTATCATGTGATCCAAAACGGTGGCGACGACGGAAGAAAAACGAATTTAGAATTTCAAAAATTTCCAATTCTTCAACTTATCAAACTATGTTTCCAAAAAGCTCGGTACCTACATAGATGATATTTCAGGTATTTACGCGATTTTTCACCAGTTATCTACACAGAATTATGCATATCCAAACATAAAACTAATTTTCTCATATGTATAATAAAACAATTAATAAAAACTGACAGTCAATAATGAAAACTAAATATAAAAAAAACATGTAAAGTTAATGCATAATAAATAAAAAACAGATCTATTTCCATCAAAATATATAACTATGCAGTAATATATTCTTACCGTTTTCCTCCACATGTTTTCCATCACGATATTTAGCATCAACTTGGTAATTATACCAAATGGCATCATGTGCATAGCGTATTTTATAATCTAAGGATGAGGGCAATTCTGTAATCGAATCAAAATTATTGAAAACTGTCCCGATAACAGTTTTGGAATCAACAGATCTTCGCATACGAAGACAGAATTTTTCCATTTCTTCCTCACTAGCGAATTTTCTTACAGCTAAAATAAAAATTAAATTATTAAAAAAAATTAATTAAATTATCAAACATGAAATTATAGTTCATGATTAAAAATAAAATCTGCTTAAGAGAAACATGAATTATAAAACTGTATAACAAGAAAAATACGAAAAACATTTTTAAAATAAACAATTTTCGGTACTTTTCCGTTTTGCCGGCGCAAGCGATAAAATCGCCAATAATGGTACAACCGATGCCAAACGGAATATTCTCTCGCTGGTAACTTTAACGCCTCATTCAGATATTCGTTTTATGTCTAAGGCCATTTTCGCAATTAAATCAATTAGGATGCCATCACAGCGCTACCCGAGCCGAAATATAGAAAAGTTAAAGTCAAGGGTTATTCATCAATTCTAATGAGAATGCATTACCGAAGTAAAGCACTGCCAGTTTTACATAATTGAGTAAGCTATTCGTACGAATGAAGTATTTCTGCATTAAACTTGTGTTCTAAATTAAGATTTAACTTGAAATTAATGTAGATAATTACTGAGAGCATATTTTTGTAGAGTAGTATACGTGAGATGAGATCGCTGAGTCACGTGATATGAACCGGTGTGGTGTGTTTGTGTATTTATTATGGCAAAGCACACTAGGGCTATCTGCTAAGGGGAGGGATGCCTTTCTTTGAGGACTTTCTAAGGAAACTGGCTGTATACACGTTACATGGGGAAAACCACGAAAACGCCCATGCAGCCAGCCCGTTCGCGGGATTCGAACCTCGGACCGAACTACCAGTGTTCAGCGACTTACGCTCGGCCGCTGGTGGGCCTGATATGAACCGCGAACAGAGTTGAACCATGAAGATAGTAAATCTTAAATTAATGTCTTTTTATAAATTTATTGTCTTTATTTATTGGCTTTTATAAAATTTAAGCGATATTAAAATGTTTATGCCTTCAAAAAAAAATTTTAGACTAAATTTTTTTAATATTTTTTGTGTGCATAATGTATGTTGTCGCCAATAAAGTCTGCTTGGCGAGATTTGCGCCGGCGAAACGGAAAAGTACCCAATTTTCTAAAATTTAAGCAACAACAAAAAATTGCACAACACGTCATCATAATGCCATGTTAAATTACAGGAAATTCAATATTGTGGTATTTACGCAATTCATTACCAGTCTAGCAATACATAATAAGTTTAAACTGTCGGTGATATGTAAATTTGGGAAAATATGTGATACAGCACAGTGGTCTCAAACTTAAATTGCACGCAGACGAAATGCAGAACTTAAAACAACTTTCAGATCGGAATTTTTTATAAACTATAAAAATTTTTATAACAAAAAAAAAAAAAAAAAAAAAAAAAAAAAAACTGAAATTTTTCAGATTTTAAATTACGTCCAAAGGGGCGTTTTTTTAACGTTTTAAGTGTTACCTTTATTATATTAATATCATGTTCTTTGCACTTAAACCATAAAATTCAGTTCAAGAGCAATATCACAAAATATGTTAAATTAAGCATATCTTTAGAATTTCGATATACACAGTCTCGCGAGCTGGAGATAAAAGTATTTTTTTCTATATAACGTTGCCATTTCTCGCTTTTAAAGCACCGAGTTTGTAAATCAAAAATTCGTTAAAGTTTTACAAATAAAATCTATAATAAAACAAATTCCAAATTTGGGATTTCAGATGCCCATATTCGCAGTAGGATTTCGTCATTCAAAATTCGATGGCTCTATGTACCATTGTTTTATCACAATGCGAGAAATAGACAATCATTTATGCAGATTTTTCATTATTTAATTTCTTCAAGTATAATGCAGGACTCTTAACATTTTGTGGCACCAGTTTGAAAAGCGAACCGACGTTTATGAGTCCGACGCAAAATGCCAAAACGAAAGCAATAGTCCTTCGGGACTGAAATCCCTTTGGACTAAAAAAAAAAAAACTGAAAGGTTTCAGATTTTAAATTACATCTAAAGGGGCGTTTTTTTAACATTTTGTGTGTTACCTTTATTTATTAAATATCATGTTCTTCGCACTTAAAACCATAAAATTCAGTTCAATAGACAATATCCGCAAAATAATTTTAAAATGAGCATATCCTTTAGAATTTTCCGAATACACAGTCTCCTCGCGCGCTGGAGATAAAAATGGTTTTTATTCCTGTAGAGTGTTGCCGATTTCTCGCTTTGAAATCCTTGAGTTTCTTAATCAAAAATTCGTTAAAGTTTTTCAAAATATGAAATCGATAATAAAACGAATTTCAAATTTGGGCTTTCAGATGCCCATATTCGCAGTAGGATTACGTCATTCAAAATTCGATGGGCCTCCAAGTGGAACGGTGCTTCGGTACACCAGGGTACCTGGTCCGAAGGCCCTACCCCTTGCAGAACAGTTGAAAGTTTCGAATTATGATAAAAAAATAAGCTGGTGATGATCTCGAAATTTTGATGAGTGGAATAAATTTGGTGATGGCAAGAAGCATCGAAGATGGTCTAAGTTTTGGGAAAGCTGTTCAAGAAATTAAGAAAGAGGTGACATTCTCAAAACACATCAGTTTTCGTCTTCCGCAATTTTCATCATGTAATTGACAGCTCGGAAACCTGCAGAAAGTTTATCAACAACAGTTCTTGCATTGCGAATTTTTTCTATGAGCGTAACGATGTTTCTCAGGAAATCTTGCACTTTATCGTCCAGGATCCAGTCAATAACAGCGCTTGCTTCCCTCGGAAATTGAAATTTTCGTCCTTTGACCTTTTCGCTATACCTAGGTATAGCATCGGCGTTAGTTTCCTTATTTTCTCTGCTTTTTATCTGCACTTTTCAGATAAGGAAAGTCTTCCTTCGTCCATCTAGGTGGTGGTGGTGGGTGATTTTTTAGCTTTTCTTTCGAACTTCTCTTGGTAAGCTTTACATCCGCGATAACTACTGACATGTCCTTGGCCGCAAAAGGAGCAGGAGCATCTTCTGGTTTTTTCGAGCAACTCCTGGTGCTATGGTTTTCGCCACATTTACAGCAGCGTTCCAGGTTTTTAATGAGAGATGTTGAGTATGTCCATAATCTTGACATCGGTAGCATTGAGTCGGTCTCTTCCTCGGGGTAAACTTTTCGATTTTAACGTTGAAACTGAACATGTTGTTCAGGTTAAAAATAGCATTTCCAGCTTCATTTCTATGTAATTCCATGAAGAATATGGGCAGTCTTTCAGTGAACCCACGTCTGGTGCGAGTAAATTGCTTGACTTTGATAATAGGAAATTTTCTGCGTTTCAAATCATCAAAAATTGCCTCTTCGGTTACAGTTTCCAGGATATTCTTCATTATAGCTTTAACATTCTTTTCGCTCGGCAGTTGGTAAGTATCATACATTTTCCATTCAATCTGTCAGTCATTTTCTTATAGTCATGCGTGTTTTTAACTTGAACATAGATGCTATTCATCTTCAGATTCGATTCATATTCCTCAGTACAGTTAGTTTGAAAAAGTTCATCAAGTTTAAGCCATTCTACAGCATTTCTTTGAAATACAATGGGAAGGGCGTGACCAACTGGGTGGCTCCTCCTTCCTCGTCAGCATATCACAATAAGAGAAACATAGATACTTTTATGCAGATTCTTCATTATTTAATTTCTTCAAATATAATACATGGCGATAATATTTGATGGCAACAGTTTGAAAAGTGATAAAGCCATTTATAATGTTTCGACGCAAAATTGCAAAACGAAAACAATAGTCCTCCAGGGACAAAGCCCCTTTGGACTAATAATTTAATGTTAAATTTGTATTTCTCTATTTATAAATATACCTTTTTGACTAACATATATTTGTAAGCACATGGAATATATTTTTAGCAGCCCGTTTAACTTCAATCGGAATGCCACTCTAAAAGATAATGTTTTTTGTAAGAAATATACTAGAAGCTGAAGAACAAACTCTGGTGAATTTTTTAGACGACAGCACACTGAAATAGGATCAAAATATTTAGTTTTAAAAATTGATTTACTTGATGATGTACATAAGCCAAAATATGCACGCTATTTCATGTGATGCTAGCTTAGGGGTAAAGCTGAACGGTAATAAGGTTTAACTTCTGGGGTGGTAAGTTCGAATCCCATAGGCTTTTCCCACTCTGTTTGCAACTTTCTTAGCTTCTTGTTCCAGTTTGATCTACATTCATGTTTTAAAATTTATTTCCATTATTATATGCATTAAATATAATGTTTTATTTATGCTCTTATTTATTTAAATTTTCCTCGCAAAAATTTTTCAAAATTATATAATACGAATTTAAAGCACACCCTGTATATATATATATATATATATATATATTTCGTTTCGCTTTTATGTGAATGTACATACATGTGCTCAGACTTTTGGATGTTTACAGCTCTAAATTTTCATTACCAATTTCATTACGCCCAAAACATTTTTTTTTAACAAAAAATTACTATTGGAAAGAGGGTCAGTTTGAAAACCTAGCAAGCATTGGACCACAACAAAAAATTACTATAATAATTGCTTTTAAATTCAGTCCTCTCCAGCAGAAGCGCAGGAATTAATCAATTAATTAATTAAATATTTTCACTTTCTTTACCTAATGTGTGTATATATATATAAAGAGAAAAGGCTTATTTTTATAACTTCTGTAAAAAGAGATATGAATTAAAATTTTTTAAATTAAATATAACATTTTATGGATTATGCATAAATATAATGCGGCAAGTGTGCATTTTAAAACAAACGAGATTTCTAATAAATTATCCAGCTATGACTCTGAAGAAATTAAAAATGAAGAAATCGACGCTAAAATTTTATCCTGCTTTCTCCCCAAATTTGGGCATATTTTAAAAATATACGATCTAATATGGCAGTCAGCGGTATACAAGCATAGCAAATTTTGTGTAAATATTGTGAACCTTTCTTTACAGTTGTTCTGTATTTTTAAAATACCAACTATTTTTTAATTCTTTCAACTTTTTTATTTTATTTATTTATTTGTTTATTTTTTCGGTAACAGTACATTTAGTTTTAATAATATATATATATATTATTCATTAATATTTAAGGCTTCTAGAAACACAAAGAAATTTTTAAAATGTTCTTCAACTTTTTGCATTAGTGATGTTCATAATATGCGTTATAACCTTACTTATATAAAAATTGCTAGCGTACTTTACTTTCATAAGCAAAAATAAGTTCATAAGCAAAAAAAAAATTTCCAATAACATGGAATTTAGTAAACAAAACTTTTCTGCGTTTTACGTCAGGATCTATATCAAATCCAAAACAAACAATATTCGCTTAAGCGATAAAAAATTCAGATATTCAGCGTCGTAATTCGCGAATTGGTTGCTTGGCGCCAAAATATTACAGTGACACCTAACGGGGGAAAATAAAAATAATCTACGACTACGCGGCAGTGGAAACGCTTGTACGGATGCCGTAGGCGTGTCTTCAATTGACGCAACGCGTTCGTACGCAGTAGTGGAAACGGGCCTTAAAACTAGCCGACAATGTATGAAACGACAATTTCACACATTTCTAGGAAATGAGAAACCGGCAAAGTAAGAAATATATCTCCGATTCGTATATAAATGCAGAGGAGCAGCTAGAATAATAGAAAGCGTCCAAACAATAGAAAATGGTGAAACTAATCATATTATGCAAGAAAAAGAGCCTGTTTCAGAAAACATGAATGGGATTATAGTCGATAGTGGCTTAAACAAATATGATGAAGACATGCTTCCCGAAGAGATTTCCGTGTCTGATACGTGTTGCGTGTGTTTAGCACTTGCATGCAAAACGTGTTGTCGATTCATATCCTCTATGGCCATGCTAGTAAAGGTGACGAAATGGATATTATGTGCACCCTTTATTTCAAAACTGAAAATAATATTGAAGGTAAAATAAATTCTAAAATCATTCTGGAAATGCAAACCAAAAAAAAAAAAAAAAAAAAATGGAAATGAATCCGGAAAAAAAAATTTCCACTGCTTCTTTAGGAACTACTGTGAGTTCCCGTTCCTGAGGGCGAGGTGATTTGCGGAGTATATTGGCAGTTGTAATGGGTATAATAGAGGATGGTTTCTACAAACTTGGAACTTTTGAAGGAATTTTAAAACAAGTACAGGGTGCGGCAGCGTTTATACAGTAATTTGACTTTGCGTAGCACAATGATGCACTGCATGAATGCGCGGCCGCATTCGTGTACTAATGAGCTGCCATTTCGAGCGTGACAGTGATATGGATCGTTGAAGTGCACAGCATCCTGCCTTTGCTGTTGAAAGTTATTTCAAGAATAACTACTCTGTTATTGCTACCCAGCGTCTATTTCGGCAACATTTCAACTTCGAACGTTATGGGAAAGTTCCAGATGGACAGACCATTGCGACAGACATTTCCAGGTAGAGTAATTTCCCGTTTTGGTGACATTTCCTGGCCGCCTCGCTCACGTGATCTTTCATGTGCAGACTTTGGGGGCACCTGAAGCAAGAAGTTTTCCGAACACGTTGTGCCACCATTCCTGAGTTGAAGGATCGCATCCGAATTGCTGTTGGCAATGTCCCAAAGAATACGTTACGCCGAGTTATAGCAAGCTTCCACCGCCGCCTCGATGAATGTGTTGTGCAGAGGGGACATCATATTCCAAAAGTAATCCACGCAATGGACAATGACTTACACATTAGTAAATGGCATACCTTTAACTAGTAATTGACATAAGAGGGAATAAATAAATTACAGATACTGCCTTATGTTGTGCTTTTAATATCCTACTATGAACGCTGCCGCACCCTATATAAGCGAGATCACAATTCACTTTATGCCCTAAGAACTTGCTTAGAATTGAAAATATTCCTGACCATGAAATTCATCTCCAATTAGTTGCAATTGCTCAGTGTGGTGGAAGCGGTCAAGGATTCGTAAAATATATGTGTAAAACAAACTGCCATAATAAAAATGTTTTTGCATGAAAAATATAATGCAATGTCATTCAAGCCTATCATGTTGCAACAAATAAGTTAATTTCAATTTGTTACTTTTTATATAATAATTTTGTTACCCTTAAATAAGAAAGGCATAAATTTTGTTTTGTACAACTTTTACAAACGAAAATTTTGTTTTGTACATATTTCTTTACGTATTTTGAATAATTTTTTAATGACACTCTCATTATTTTTCTCATTATTTTTCAGAATGAGATTTGTATTTTTAAGCAAATGCACGTCATTTATAGTCTTATCAGGAAATTTTTTCATATTTTGCCTAAATAGCATTTGTAATTCTAAAGAATACCTAGGTAATATATAAAATGCCTAGGGAAAGTATGTAATAATTCTCATATATTAAGATTTGCCTAAAAACAGCCGGCATTAAGTACAATTCCTAGGCGGCGTTTCATACTTTGCCTGTAACATATATGCAGAAAACAGAAAGGAAAAAAACAAAAAAAAAAAAAAAAAAAAAACAGATATATACTTACTTGCGTTGCTGTAAGACACCTTTACATTATTCTTCCACAGAGCAATTGAGTCCATTACAAGATTCTTGGTGACATTGTTCGGTGGGGTATATGCAAACAGCAAATCACCAACTGCATGGTCACTGAGATAATCAAAAGGTTTAAATGAAGGATAAGTTCTTTTATCGACCCATTGCCAAAATTTCCACGTTCCCGAAGTAGATCTCCCAACCTTTCCATAAAAAGGAAGAGTGCATTGTTCACTAATTTGTGCAAATTTCACTATAGCAGGAATAATGATGATTAAGGTAGGTATGACAATCTCAAGAATAGTAAGTATGTAATGCCGCTTTCTAAGCTGAAGTCCTTTATATAGTAGTGCCCAAAACTGATGCATTTCATTGGCTCACTTGTCATCCGTACAGGAAATCCTCTGCAAATTTAAAACATATCAAATAAGATAAAACAGAAAGTACTAATTTTATTAAACGACAAAATTAGAATGTTAAGCTGCGAGTCAAAATAAAACTAGACTAGGGGTTCTCAAACTTTTCAAATTTTGTATCACATAAATATGAAACTAAAATGTATGTAACACTATAAAAGCATTTCGCCATTAAAAATCAATGCGTTCTAAATGGAGTGTATATAATCAAAGAATAAAACCCTTTAAATTTATATTACTTATTAAATTTATATTAATTATATTCGTAAATAGGAATTCACATTAGAATAAAATATAAATACGTACACTACGAGTGCCTCTACGATTCTTGGAAATCGTAACGTCGGGAAATTGTTCGAAACTCTTGGAAATGTCGTCACTTCAACATTAAATCTTGAGCCGTAAAAGCTTGAAAATTATATGTGTTTCTGAATAATAAAGATTAAAATTAAATGTTAAAACGGGCGCAATTTTACATTCATTTTGAACATTAACTTTTTTTTTCTGTAAAACAATTTACCACTAAACTATTGTAATGTACCGACAGTGGTACCTGTACCACAGTTTCATAACCGGTGATTTAGACAAAAATATGCGACAATGTTTTAGTAAAATTTGTCCATATTTATCAGATAAATATTTAAGCTTTCTATAATTCACAAAATTGGTCGGATTTTCGGTAAGCTCAACTTTGAAATATTTTTCTCAGCTATAAGTAAGGTTCACTGTTCGATTCTGAAAGATTCCACAGCTGATTTTAATTCTTGCGGAATTTTAGCATATCATGTCAATCATGATGACAACATAAAAGCCCAGCGAAAGCTAGCACGACAAAAGAAGACCCCCCGCTAAAAATAGCCCTCTGATTATTGCTAACACGACAAATGCATACACGACTGAAAGCGCAAATGAATAATATCCAACGCAGATAAACGCCTGTAGTAAGAAAAGTCCATACTCACATAAACCCGCACTATGGTTTATATAAGATAATAAATTTCCTCTTATACATTTAATTTTTTCATGAAAAACGGTAAATAGAAAAAAAAAAAAAAAAACATTAAATAAATTTATGACAAATTAATAAAATAACGGAACACATTTTATTTTGAGCTCTGGATGAATTCAAGACCCGTATACATATATATGCGCGTGTTGCCTAATTTTAAAAAGTATTCTTAAGGTCGAAGAGTTTTCTAAACGAAATTCCGTTTCTTTAATGTTACTGATATACAAACTATGACAACACAAGCTCTTCAATCGCTAAGAACCAAAACTGAAGAATATAAGGATTTTAGCAACTCGAATGAATATTTTCCTAAATATACTAAATACAAATAATTTAATTGATAGTTCTAGATTAGTGCAAGATAGAATGAATAAAATTAATGCTTTGTTCCATATTTGAATTGAATAAATCTGTATTTATAAAAATCTGATAACTGAATTACGTATCTAGGCATTAATCCAACGAAAGGTCGTATCGTAATCTTAACATTATAACTGTTGAAAATTTTGAGCTGTAAATTCTAATAATTTTTACGTATACACATCTGCTAGACGAAACGGTCTACTAAATTGTCCCGATCACACAAAAGTAGAATGAGACTAAGTAGAATGAGAATTCACTCGAGAATGGCATGTTTTATTGATTTCACTAGCATAAATTGGTAAAAGAATAAATGAAAAAGATTTTAGAGGGTAGGAATAAGATTATTCATTAACTTATATATCTGGAGAACGTCTTAAGAAATATAATTTTCGATTTGGCAAGAAAAACATTCTAAGCAACACTGAAGAGCCCCCCCCCCCGCCAAAAAAAAACCTGGTACACCTGCGCAGTATCCTGTAGGGCCCCCATGAGCACGCTGAAGTGCCGCAACACAACGAGGTATGAACTCGACTAATATCTGAAGGTGTGCTGGAGGTAATTCATGAAAGCTGCAGGGTAATCAACAAATCCATACGAATGCAAGGTGGTGGATATCTCTTCTGAAAAGCACATTGCAAAGCATCCCAGATACGGTCAGTAATGTTCATGTCAAGCATCCCAGATACGGTCAGTAATGTTCATGTCTGGGGATCTAGGCGGCCAGTGGATATGTCTAAATTCAGAAGAATGCTACTGGAGCCACGCTGCAGCAACTCTGGACAAGTGGGGTGTCGCAAAATTTTATTTCAGATTTCAATAAATCAAAGCATTTAGTTAACAACAGTTTATTGGGAAAGCAACGATAAAAATATTCGATACAATAAACACATTTATTTCAGTTTAAACATTATATCCAATTCAAATAAAATGCATTAACTCTCATTCAAAATTTGAATCATTCATTACAGAAAACAACTTCAATACTATTTTACTAACTAGACTGGATTATAGCAAAACAGGCTTAAGTTATCACATTAAAATAACAAGTCCACCTTTAATGAGACACGTATGGTTTAAGTTTTGACTTCATTTTTTTTAGGCTCGAGTGATGATAATTGGAGGCAAACATTTGGTTCTTCATTTAAGTGGCTTTTTCATTTTGTTTTGTTATTTGTTAAAACGAAGAATCCAGCTTCACAAAGATATATAGTTGATAGAGGGAGCAATAATATTTTTATTTTCTCAGACAAGATTCTGAATCCATCTTTTAAATGCAACCATAACTCCGGCAGACTTTGGTTTTGACACGCGATTTTTAGTTCGCTGTAAGATGTCAAGTATCTCGCAGTCTGCTGATTTTAAGCTGGATGGTGTTAGGTTCATGCTGAAAAATACACAGCATATTAAGTCATCGCGTTCATTTTCTTGAGTTGTTGAAAAGTAATTTTCAAATTACTGTTTCACACCTTCAGGATATGGCTAAATATTTTTCCGTATTTTTTCTTTAATCTTGATTTTATTTTTACTCAAAAAGCTTTGGGTAAAAGAGAATTCACTAATATCTATTATTTTTTTATGCATTTCAATTATACCTAAATTTCTTCTTAAAAGAAGACACTTTGGCTTTTGCATTTAAAACTATGGCATTTTTTTATTTGCAGTGTGGAGCATTTTCAGCATGTAAAAAGGTCCCGGTTTAAGCAATAAAATATTATAGTAAGCCTAGTTATTCGACAATGAGGATCATAAAATCTTGTTCTGAAATTTATAGCTCTTAATGTTTCGGTGATAATGTTTTATTTCTTCTGTCTCCATTTCCGTTTCCAAAAATAAAATTTGCATGGATAAGTCGAAATCGGTTGTTTTTCTAGTTAGAAAACATATTTCAGGGCGCAGAATTGGCAGTTTCAGTGTGGAAGTAGCAGAGCGTCCGGTCATACTCGGACCTCACAAAACTAAGGAATTTCAAACAAATTTGAAACTTTAAGCTTGGGCGGGACTTGAAACTTTACAGATGAGAGTGAAAACATCCACTTAAAGAAAATAAAATACATTACTGGATCGGTAAAGAAATACATTACTGGATCAAAATTTCTGCTTTGTATCCTTATGAGTGTTTCAAAAATGAAAAATACTGCAATATTCTACAATTTGAAACCACAAGTACTCTACAATCTAAAACTCTTGCTGGCGAACAGTATTCGATTCGAAATCGTGTGCTTTGTATAAATTAATCATTTCAAATAATTCTTAATTGCTTTCATGATTCCGAAGTTCGCTACTTAGTTGCTCTTACTTTTTTTCCTTGAATTTCAGCTTTCACACGTAAAACTTTCACACGATAAACATTATGAGACCTACTTATAACTTTATTCATGGTAAAAACTCCATAAGCTTAGAACTTGCTAATCCAGTTACAGGATTAAGTATTTTTCGAAGAGTCATCTTGCACTCAACGACTATGCGTCAATCAAAGTCACTGAAATCTTCCTCAATTTCACACCAACCGATGACTGACTGCTAATACATCCTGCACGAATATACAGCAAGCACGTCATACTTAATAAGAAACAAAATCTTTCTAGACCAGTGTTATATTAAAGATCTGGCTTAGATAGAAAATTAAAACTCATACTTTTAGAATTAGTCTAAAGTGTATACTTTCTTATAAAATGCTTCAATTTCTAGTAAATTTAGAATTGAGACTAAAACTTTTAATTACTGCATAGCAAGAGTTCGTCCTCAGCTCAAAGCGTAGTTCCAAGAATACATTTAATACTTAGACATGTAATACGTTGTTCTCAATCATCTACCTAATTTGAAAAGTTTTGGAATATCTCATAACATATTTTTTTACAAAATTCTGTTCAGAGCTTCAAGTAAAGTAACACTTCCGGTTTGCCGATTTTAGCCAAAATCTAATATGTTGTTTCCATTAATATACAACTGTTAAATACGAGTCTTAAATAAAATAAACTTAAATCTTAAATAAAGTCTTAAATATAATAAACTTAAATCTTAAATAAAGTCTTAAAATAAAAATGTTTTGAATTCTATTTTAATAAAAATCCTTATTAAAACTGGCCCACCAGCGGCCGAGCGGTAAAGTCGCTGAACACTGGTAGTTCGGTCCGAGGTTCGAATCCCGCGAACGGGCTGGCTGCGTGGGTGTTTTCGTGGTTTTCCCCATGTGTAACGTGTATACGAGCCAGTTTCCCTTAGAAAGTCCTCCACGGAGGCATTCCTCCCCTTAGGCAGATAGCCCTAGTGTGCTTTGCCATAATTAAATACACCAAACACCTTATTAAAAACTCTTATGGGCTTCAAGTGAAGTACTACTTCCGGTTGTTCATTAAATACTTAATGTGAGCGACTTCATGTCAAGCACTATTTCCGGTTGTCCACTTTTAAGAAACCTTAAATATGGCTAATATACGTTTTTGGAAAATTCACAAAACTGTGATTGTGGTAGAAAAACCGTCACACACATACAGACGCACAGATTAATAGACATCATTCTAAAAATAGTAAAAACGTGTTGTTGGAACATTCATTCGTGCTTATTCGTTGAAAAGTCACAATCGAATTTTTAGACTCAAAACGTTATTTTCCTTACTTTTGTGCATATGTTGGCGGATCTGAATGAGGGTTTTTTCCCTTAGCGAGCAGTCAAGTCTGTGCGCGTGTCTTAAATTCAAAGTTCCGCTAGCGTAAACAGGTCTTTATTCAGGTAACAGGTCCGAAATTAAATTTTGCTGTAAACAGGCTTCAAGTAAACTATCTCTTCCGGTTGTTCAATTTCACACCAAATCTAACGAATTCTTAATATGAATACAGACAACTTAATATGGAAAATGGAAATTTTGGGGAGTTTCATATAAGAGTTATCGTGGCGAAAAGAATCGTCACACACATACGCACAGATAACATTGTAAAGATAGGTTTCCACAACGCACTAATAATTCACTATCGAATTTTTGTACGAAAGCATAACCTTTCTTCGCGAGTATAAAGAATGGCAGGAGGTTAAAAGAATTTATCTTAATTTTCTGATGCAAAATGAATAATATTTTTGTATTCGAAGAACACGTCTTTTATGTAAAACAAGGAAACACTTCATTAACTTTATATTAAAAATTCTAATTATTTGTTATTGTTGAACTTGTTCACTTCTTGACCAGTAGCATCAAATCTTTTACTATGGCGGGGACCGCAGTATTGCATTCATTACTGGCATGAGCCTTGAGCACTTTGAAGGTGACAATAGTGTTCCCATTTCCGTACTAAAGAACTAATCACGAGGTCATTCAGCTCTCCATATACTATTAGAGACCCCATGCTGCAAAGACACTTTACAAGTATCCAACCATTTTCCTGCAGGGCAGCTTAGTAACTCTAAAAGCTTTTCAGCTATAACCATCAAATTAAATTTCCCTACTTTAAAGCATCCGCTGGTTCCTCAAGTACACTTTTTAGAACTTCTAAAACTAAGTTAACCACCATTTACAATACAAGCTAACGGTTTTAGTTTGTTTACACAATTCTGGATTTCATTTAAAGAGAATATCTCTACTCTCTTATTATGCTAGAGTTTTTTCGTTTCTTAAAGTCAGACACATAAGAATAGTCAGCTATAACTTGAATCTTTTCATTACTTCAAGTTGATGTTGATGTCAATACCTAACAATTGACCTAGTTTTATGTCTTTATCTTCATTTGGGACTCACTTTAATAATATCTTTAGGTGGCAAGCGCAGCACTTGAATTCTGATCTGTTATACGTTACCAACAGTTAAACTTGGAAAAAAATATAAATAATGTTACTATGGGGTGAATCATTTAAATGCAGAATCAGTATAAATGGTAAATAATGCTATGTCGAAAAAATGATAAAATTTGCAATTAAAATGAATTAGTTGCTGTTTTTGATGAAATATAATTTTGACTTGCACCTGAAAATTAGAAATTGAACTTTTCATAGATCTATTTAACTCATAAAACATTATAAATTGAAATTAAGCATTTTGATGTTATGAGATTGCTTTATAACAAGTTTAATTATCTCGGTCGCGTTAGGCAGTGGTCACCTTAACCTCTTCGTCGTTCGTAACGCGTCTAGCGCGTTCAAGTGAAACTTCCGCAGAACGGCCGTAACGCGCCTCAAGCGTTTTTCTACATTTAAAAAATTTTAAACGTTTAAAACGCTTTCTAAATGTTTACTTGTTTGAGTTTTATTTTTGTTTGTTCTAATACCTCCTAGGCGGCAGTACTAATCAGGCATTCTATTTCTAATTGAATTTGCCCCGGGTTTTATGAATATTCGCGCCATTTTACATAAGATACAAGACAGTGAGAGATGGCTTCAACGTCTACTCAGCAGAAAAAGAGAAAAAATGAGGTTGTGAATTGGAAAGACAAGAAGAATATACGTTTGATGAGTACAGTCCATAATAAGTCGATGATTGATGTTGAAAAAAACAATAATTGTAAAAGATTACAACAACAAAATGGGAGGAGCGGACCGCTTGGATCAGATGTTATCAAATTATCCTGCTGTTAGAAATAAGCAGAGATATTTTTATTTTTCCATTATGCATTATATCCTTATAGATTTACTTAATATTCATTGATATTCATCCACTACGTAAGTCAGGTATGGAAAGTTATGATGTACAGAGAAAACAACATTACACGCTACGAAAAACAGACGGCCCCTGTGGGGAAACTTTCGCGGACAGGAGAGGACGGCGAAAAAGTTAAAAAAATAATACAGTAGACTCCCAATTAACAGGATTAATGCTGGGAATGGCATGCAAAATTAATATGAAATTATGCTTCAAAGGCAGTTAAAAAACACAAGAAAGGCGTATAACCAATATAATAATTAATATAAATAATATTAAGTATTTTTAAATAGTCAAACGTGGACAATAAGTTCACAGAGCTATATATCAAATTAGTATTCAAAGCAAAGAGCACTATAAATAAGGGAGAACAAACATTGAAGAAATTAAGTTATAAATGATAATTAAGAATAATATTTACAAGAGAACTTGAATAATAACATTGAATTCAAACTCACATAAAAATATAACGATTTTTTTAAGACTAATGATCTTTGCTTACAAAGCGTCATTTTGTCACTCAACAGACTATCATCTTGCCTTTCAAATTAATCGAGAAGGCAACAATAAAGCCAAACTACTAAAGAGATTTTAAAAAAATATTTACAAGCGAACTTGAACATTATCACTGCGTTCAAATTCACATAAAATGCTTAGAATATATTGTCAGGGTTTTCTTTTTTTAAGATCAATCATCTCTGTTTGCAGAGCATCATCTTGTAACACAAGAGACACTGTCATGCTGCCTGTCCAAGTAACCGAGAAGACAAAAATAAATCAAAATTACTTGAAACAATAGCACTGATCGCCTTAAAAATTACTTGGCAGGCGAAATTATCAAAGCTAATGAGCTAAGGGCTTGGTTTTTATAAAAATATGAAGGAGCAGCCAAGTCAGGCTAAGATAAAGGGGGAAGCAGCAAAGCGTCTGTCAATTAGTCATTGTCAGGGATGGGTGGGCCAGTGGGCGGTGCACCTACTGTTTGTTTTTATTTGGACGAACTTCTGTACTTTAGTATGAGTCACCATTAAATCCAGGATTAATGGCTATACACTTGATTTCCAATTAAATAGTTTACTTTTAACGGAAGAAATAATAATGGTCATATATTCCAAATTTCAAGCAATTGACTTTCATCTGTTATTACTGTTATTATTTTATGCAGTCTTTGTTAATTTTCCCATTATTCTGCAACATATAACACACTTTTTTTTTTTTTTTTTTTTAAGATGGGACCGATTAGTTGGGAGTTTATCGTATCATAATTGCAAGTACCAGTGTTTATTTATATTCTCAGAAATACAGTTTAAAATTAGCAAAATTATACTTTAAAAATATCTAAGTTTAAAAAAAAATTGACACTGGTCTTTGTTTTTACAATATTTATTTTGACAGAAAATTTTTGCTTCTCTCGCACTAGTATCAGTTTCCTCTAAAAGCGCTTATTACTCCTGTCATTAATAAAATTGCATTTTGCCTAAGCATTGTATGTTCATTTTGTGATTTTTAAAAACTTCAAAAATAATAATACACTTAAAATCCAAAAATAATTATTTGCTATCAGTTAAATAAATGGTTCACACAGTAAATGATACAATTTTTCCCAATATAATTTACGGAAATCTCTGATTCCAGTCCTCAATTTTCCCTAAAATAATTATTTACAACGATATGTTTAACATTTATGAAATGATTCTAGGAATAAATTATACAATTCTGCCGTATATAAAACAACTGAAACTCTGATTACAGTTTTTGAAGTGAAATAAATGACGAAAAAGACGGTTTGGTACAACAACAGAAGTGAAATATCTCTTACCATTGAGACAGATGTTAGCCTATAACATATTCAAAAGCGAATATCGAAAAGTTAAAACTCCATGTCTGTCTACGAAGTAATACTATGACTGATGAAGCAGCTACGAAAACTTCGTGTGCAACAGTGAAGCAGGACGCTTGATAAAAAGAATCCGAAACTCAAGGATAAGTAACTGATAAAACTTCCTTCTGGGTGTTTGACACTTGGATACCAGCGACAGCGCGAACTGTATGACGCAATTTCCGGCACCCCAGGTGATCCCCTGGCGGTGTAACAAGCCATATACTTCATTTGGCATATTTAAAGACTTAAGTATCAGATAAAAATAACATCATACCCAACAGAATCTCTGTCGAAGTGGCAGCTAAAGCGGAATGAGGGAAAACTAAATCTGTCCATAATATGCCGCCATCTATCGGCCAGAGTAGGCCTAAATTTCAGTACCGTTGAAGAATCTTCGGAATGGGAGCGAAGAGAGAGCTGTTATTTGTCAAGTATTCGACAAATCAGCACTCTACAAATGTCCAAAACTAAGAATTTAGAGATCCGACTTGGGAAAGCTTATCAAATTCATAAAACATACACAAGTAATAGAGTTTACTTTCTAGAATCCTTGGAAGTGATGAATTCCGCAATCTTGAATGCTAATTAATCAAAACAAAATAAAGTAATTATCAAAATAAAGTACATTCATGGGATATGAAATAGTCGTATTAAAATTTTTATTTACGTTAAATTACATTACGTTACGTTTCATTTACGAAATTACATTTACATTAAACTTTAAAAAAATAAATAAACAAATAAAATAAAACGCTCTAAAATGTAATCTATGTCACTTAGTTTTAAAACTCTTAAACGAAGCCTGATATTTTTAATTATTTTTTTAAATGCCCGAAAGAAAGTAATCGCGTCATTTTTTTTCACAATTCCTCTATTCAAAAATTTAATTTCTTAAAGGTTTTCAAATATTTTAAATGTATACACCGATTTATTTATTTATATTTTAACTGCTTTTTGAAAATTCTATAATGTGTATCTTACATCACCTCTTCAATTCTACCTCGTATGGAGAACTCTCATCTTCGGACTTCATCATATGTTACAGACGCGTAGCCAGGGGGAAGTGCCCTGGGAGCCCGGGCACCCTCCCGCTTCACCACTACCTATGCTTAAAAAAAGTGCTAATTAATTTTCAATAGAAAAGCCTTAAGTTTTTAAAATATTGCTTTCCAGCTTCCCAAAAAATTCACGTGATTAACGAAGATTGAACGGAAAGTCTAGAACTTTCCATTTAGAAGTAAGATCAGGAAAAGCCATCCTTCTCCAGCAAACAAGCGGCGGGAAAAAGGTTATATGACATTTTCAAGTCGCAAAGCTTTTGTTCTTTTACAGCTTTGAATAGTCCTCCGTATCCTGTCCCACTTTCCCTCTAGCTATCAAGCTTAATGTTACTAAAGAAAGAAAAAAGCCCTTTCAATTCGGACCAAGCATCTAAAGGCATAATGATTAAAAGAAAATAATTATTAAAAAAAAAGAAAAGAAGTTGGAGTATTTAATTTTAAGATTTGCTAGCTATTATCTAAATATTGCACAAAAGAGGAAAGGAAACACAGAAAAATAATTTTTAGTGATTCTTTTTTAACATTAATTTCGAATTTCAGTTAAGTCAATAAATGTAGCAAAAATATTAATATTTTTCGGAATGATATAGAGAGCATTTCTATGTCGATGCTTTCAATGCAATGAATTTTATTTTCTTAGTCATCTAGCAATTTAAAGTCTTCTTTAAGATGATTTAATAGGGCAGTTGTTAAATACACAGATAGTTCATTCACTGCAAAGCATTTTATTTTATTTTATTATTTTTATTTTACTTACTTATTTATTTACTTTTAGGACAAATAACAAGATATTTACCAATTAAAAGGAAGCATAAAACAAGATAATTTAATAGAATGAAAAAAGTACATAATCTATTATTGGGCAAAATGTATAAGATTGCCGAACAATGCTAATTCGACATAGGTTAGAATATCAACGAACGCGCTGAAAAAAAGCTTTTATGATCTTTCTTATGTATAAGGTAAGTATAAACCAGTTTCTCTTAGAAAGTCCTCCACAAATGGGATGGTATCCCTTCCTTGGACATGTCTATGGGAGGGCATCCCTTTCCATAGACAGATAACTTTTCGTATGCTTTCCAGTATTAAATTAAACAAACAGTAGCAAGTATATATGAAATACTAATTATAATGATAAAAATTTAATGTAATTGTAACATCATATGCATCGTCGACATCAAGCCGAAATCACGAATCAATAACATCCCTTTCCGAAGGAAACAATTTTGTATTGGCATAAACTTTATTTTGCAAAAATCGATGTTCTACACTACATTTCTAATTTGCTTACCAAAAACTTCAATTAATTTTACTTTTTGATCACAATGCAAAGTAGAAAAATAACAGAAAAAGAATTCAATATTAAGGAGGATTCAAGAACTCAGTATTATATAATTAAAGGGTATCAATGACCTCGATGGGAATGAGAAAATATTGTCTCATTTTTTTCTGGTTCATTTACATCATAGAATAGTTTAGATTCATGGCTTAAAATTTTAAAATGATAGTTTTTCATTTTTAAATTCTATGGTGTAGAGCACCGATTTCTGAAAAATTCTTAAAAATCCTTTTATCCCCTCATTTTAAGTTTCTATTCTTTTTTAAATAAAAAGTAAACATCTAAAAATAACACAAAACGTAGGCACATACTCTTTGAGGTCTTCTGTCTAAGAACAAAGGCGTGTGGACGAATAGAACAAATGTATTTTATTAAATCGCGAGAATCACTATAGGAGGTCCAATCAGCTTTTAGGGATAAACTATGAGGAGTCCGGCCAATTACGAATTTGATCATAAAAAAGTTAAAAGTAGCAAATTAGATCTAACGTCTCCGAAAGTTACTACAAATTTCCTACAAATTTTACTGTGTGTTGTGTTACTAGAAATAATGCGTTAGTTTGAGTTAATATAAATCGCTTAGTATGGAACGCCTTGAAAAAAAATAAAAGCTTGAATTGGAAAAAAATGAAAAAAAAATGAGTAAAAAGATTTAGATTTTCTTTTCTCCAAAACCTTGTACATTTTCTAACGAAGTGAACTCTATCGGAAGCCTTTCTGTTTTGGAAAAAGATCAGCAGTCTTCCGCCTGAAATTTTGGCTATTATATAGCTTTTTTAATAATAGATATAATTATAATAAATGAAATAACTTTTGCCATTCAACATTCATACCTATGTGCAATGTGTATTTTAAGTTACTTATCTAAATTGAAGTTTTGTAATGGAAATTTGCTAATTATTAATTATCTGCGGTTATGAATTTTACTCGAAACATTAGTTTCATTTGTAATAGTTTTAATTTATTACATCCTATCCAGAGATATTATCATACAGATAGTTATTGCTTCCAAGGCCGCAGTTAGAGGAAATAATTTTCTAACAAATTTTTTATGTAAATATTAATGAGAGAACAGTTATTTTAGTTTATTTAGATTTTTCGATTGCAACAATAAGGCTAAAGGATGAAACTTAAGATTTGTAAATTCTCTCAAACTTCCGATATAGAGCTGTAAAGGAAAGTCCTATACTTATCCTTCGCTGTTGACTTCATGCTCCTGACATCCAACAGGGGCTAGCTAGAGTTCTAGCGCGGGGACAATGAATATGAGAAAATTAGAGAAAATATGGATTTTAATGAAGAAGCTGTGGAAAATTTTTTGCTGTTAAACATCGAATGCCGTGGTCGCAAACAAGTATTATTGAGATTGCAGAGTCACGAGGTTTACATGCCAAGACAACAAGCAAGCAGAATAAGACAAGCACTGCCGTAGTACAAGCAGAGTAAACCGCGCGATAAGCCCTCCCAATAAGAGCGGTGTTTGCAACACCGGTGCTGGCCAAAGGCCTTACCCCTGTGAACATATCGTATCTTTAAATTATGTCCTTAATTAACCTTTCAACAACATATAAGTAATTCCAAAATAATTTTTTTTTATTTTATTTATTTATTTTTTTTTAATTTAGGTATTTGAGGGTAAATTCTGTAAGGTGGAAGCCAGTAAAGCTGATACATAAGAAAGGTAAGGAGTAAGTAAATGTGGATATGAAAGCGCTATACGCGGTACAGAGTTGCAACGATTTGCGTTACAGTTAAGTTCCCATGGAGCGGTGTTTGAGCACCCAGGGTGCCTGGCAGAGGCAATACCCTTGTTTCATATTAGACGTTCGATTCACAATCAGTTAGCCAAAATAAAGAAATCGAACAGTTTTTTTTTTTTTATATTACTTGTAATTTTTTATTTTGTTTATTTATTTATTTTATTTATTTTTTTTAATATAATTTTTTAATTTTTTTTTTTTCCTTGTTAAATTGAGCCGAACTCTTTTTTCTTTTAGAATAACAAGGCCAGAAAGCAGTCAGCTGGGAATTGTCTGGAAAGGAAGTGTAATAATGGCAGAATGTGAAGATTTTGGTGCCGAAGAATAGATAGCAGTAAGAACATTGAAGCTACTGTACCATATAAGGAAACAGTATAATATAAATAAGAGAGATATAACTAGTACACGTTACATAATCCAAATATTTAGTAAGGCCAGCGGCTGTCTTTGTTATTCAATCATTAAAATCATATGTTGCAATCTTAATGGCAGGGTGGTTAGGGTACTTTGTTTCATGTTCATGTGGAATTTTTTTTTGCTATTTTATAATAAAAGGACCTTAGCATACATACACCAAGTTCCTCATGAATACGGTTGTTCCTGATGTACCAGGGAGCATTAACAATCTGCCGAAGCATGATATTTTGAGCAATTTGTAGTTTTCCACGATATCGATTGCAAGCATAAGCCCAGACAGGGCAAGCATAACAGAGTAATGGACGCATAATGGTTTTATAAATGAGCAGTTTGTTATCGACAGATAAAACACTGTTTCG